GTAAAAAAAAAAAAAAAAAAGTAATACAAAAATTAAAGAATCATAAAAAAAAATAAAGCATAAAAAATTAGAAAAGAAAACAATTTTTTTAAGTCCCCGTCCCCCCACATACACACGCAGATATGCGTCGGGTGTGCCTACGTGCAAAAACGACGATTGCACCTATTGTGTTGCACATGTTAGTGAGAGCAATAATTTTAGGGCCATTAATCACTGATAACACTAAACTGATGAGCAGCAAAAGCGTTTTAAGCGTCGCCTATGGGAGTCTTTTTTCTTGCTTTGGGGAGACTTCATCTATTTTGTTGAAAGCTAAACTCCAGCCTTACCATTATTTTTGCAGACTTGTAGAGTGCCTCTCCTGTGTTGAAAACACTTAGGCTCTGTTCTCTGCACACTGCCATCTCTGCAACACAGGAAGCTGCAGAGGATATCTTGAGCCCACCTAATTTTTTAGCCTGCACAATCTCCATTAAGCCCTCTCTTCCTGTGAATGAAAGCTGTATTGTAGCAGAAAGCAGAGGGTGTAAGGTAATGCCCACTCCTCTTAGCTCTGTAACAAAGCAAGTTATGCTTGAAGTTGCCAGACTGATGCTTCATCAAAGACAATGAAGTTCTATACTCCACTGTCAACATACAGCCATCTCAAAGTCTGCTTGTTAAGGCAGCCAGAATTCTACATGCAACTGCTCAATAGCCACCCCACTGCTTGGTAGGTCTCTTTAATTGAGATCCGAGGCAGTGTGCTGTGACATCAACAGGAAGAGCTTTCCACCAAACTCGTCTGATAATGTAATTGGGTCTACATAGAGATGTATATTTTGGGACAAGTTATGGAATTGAATGTAACATTACACTTTGACTTTAAAGTGGGCATTATTTATTGGGAGAATTTGCCATAATGTGTAAGTGTGCTGAGCATGTTTGCACATTATGGCACTCTTACCTTGTGAATGCCCTTCCCCTGCGATGCAACAGTCATGGTCTACTAAATGGAACTTTACTCTTCACTCAGTCCTTGTTCTGGGTTTGGAGCCTTCAGCTGTCTTGATTGGTCAGGCCAGGATTACATAACTCCTATGCATATGTACAGGTGTTACTTTGTCATGGTGCAATACACGTTGTGAATTTCGGCCAGTTCTTAATGAACCAAATGAAATTTGCACAGTGGGTGCCCGTCGGCACCCTTCTGCCTGGCATCTCTGAATCAGCTGATTGAAGGAGTAG